CAACTCTTCATTCCAGCGCGAGCCTGACCCCACCATCATCGTCTGTCGTACTAAAACGTTGGTTTCTAAAGCAAGTATCTTGGAGAGTGTCCGTGGTTGGCTGGACGCGGCCAACTGTAGCGAAGGAGACTTCGACCTGGTCTCGGAACCCACCTCCAAGCGTTTCACGATGCAGTTCAAAGGCGCGCCCGCCTTCGCTGCAAGGAAGGTCAACATGTGCCTGTCCCAGCTCAAGACCGGCCCGAACAACTGGCGCCGCTTCAGTGCACAGGACGTTCAGAACCAAGCCGTCGAAGTGCATGTCTCTGCTGATAAATATTTGCACCAGGTCAAGGTTGAGCTCTTGCTCAAGTTGCTGCGCAGGACGATCCACGAGCTCTACCCGCAGGTGGAGCTGTTCGCGAACAAGGCACGTGGGGAACTTTTTCATCGCTGGAAGCCGCTCATTCGTGTCATCCCGAGTGCGGACTCAGACCACAAGGTGGAGTGGGTATTGGCCAACTTCGCGGAGCTGCGCATGGACAAGGAGACGATCGCTCAGAACATTCAGAAGCACCTTTCCAACTCGCAGGACATCCAGTGGTCTCTTTGACACGTTCTTCAGATAGTGGCGAGGCTCCTCACCCTCGCACGTGGGGCTCACATGCACATCGTGGAATGCGAGAGCGTTATTCCACCACGACTTGCGGCTCAGAGATCGCAAGTTGTGCTACCTGTCCAAGCTCATTTCGCCCAACTCGATTGTCGCCGTTCAGGAGTCGCATGGAGATCTGCATAGGGTCGACGATTATATGTATAATCTGCACAGACCTGTTTTGGCCATTTCCCCTTTCGGCGTTGTGAGCCAGGGCATCCAGCTGGCGGCGTCATCGCGTTCTTCCCCAAGTCTCGTGCCCTCCATCACCCTCATCCCCCTCTGGTTTCTGAAGATGCACTGGTAGAAGGTCGGGTTCTCCGTGTGCAATTTTGTTTTCAGGACCAAGTCTCCCTGGTACACTACAACATCCACAACCATGGGCTCACTGCTGGAACTCGAGATAGGGTACTCAGGAGCATCCAAAGGGACCTTCAGGATGCTGATCTAGACCCTCTTCGTAAACTCGTCGTCGTTCACGGGGACATCAATATCGCTAGTTGCCCTCCCGTTCCGCTCAATCACTTCTCTCCTGACCTTGACGCCCATGCCCCCGAAGGCTCCACTGCCGGCTCCCAAGGCCCCTCCCCAGACCTTCGACGGACCTCCGACAAGGCCTGGGATGAGATTTTGAAGACTATGGTCGAGTTGGGCATCGAGGATTTTCACGCACTTCCACGAAGGGACGCGGACTTTAGCCAGAATTGATCGCGCCGTTGCGTCCTGGCCAGGTTGGAGCCTGACGCAGTTGAGCACGGTCACTAGGGTGCACGGTCTCACCGAAATCCTGAATCGCACTCACCTCTCCGACCACAGCGCGCTCATGTCCTCCATCTCACCTCGTAAACCTCTACCTCCTGAAGATAGGCCAGTGCATCCTGATCTTTTCAGTCAGTACGCCCGAGTACGCTAGCTTTATCAAGCCAGTGCTGCTGCAGTCCTCGTGCGAGGACATGTCGGTGCCCCAGCGCTTGGAGCATCACAAGATGGTGATGAAAGAGGCAGCTCGATTCGCCAGGGACTCGATCGTCGTGAAGCGACCCCTGGATCCCTTATCGCAGTGCATCGTCTGTCGCTCGGTCGCCAGGGCCTTCTGGAAGCAGGATCGGACACTCGCGGATCGGCTTGCTCTGGCCCATTCTATCGCTCGGGACCATCTTTACTTGCCTGATTTCAGCACCGCGGTCGAGCTGAAGGATCCAGTTCGGTTCACTCAGCTCTCGAATGATGTCCACTTGCGCCTGATTGCGGACTCCCAGAAGAGGACCAAGCAGCAGTTAGGCGAGGATACCCCAGCCCGTGCCATAGCCAAACTTGTGAGGGGGCTCAAAGGATTAGAGCGCCGTGGAAAACTCTGGCTGCCTTACGGTCGAAAGCTCGGCCTTGCTGGCCTCGCCTTCCCCGGCGGATCGGCTACCCACAACCCATTGCTCATGCTTGGTGGATTGGCTCGGCACTGGGGGGAGTCTTTTCGGAGAAGCCCATAGATAGCCCTGCAGCCAGAAAGTATGTCCAGAAGTTTATGGGTGACATCAACCTCTCCTACCTCAAGCCTCCTACTCAATATGATATTGCTCGACATCTCCGACAATGCCCCCCAGGCGTCCCAGGGCCCGACGGGCCCCCATATAAGGCGCGGCAGTTCCACCCTGAGGGCCCCGAGATGCTCACTGAGGTTATGCACTGGATGTTAGAGGGGAATCAGATGGGGCTCAACTTCAATGATGTCCGAGGCGTGTTTTTGGCGAAAGGCGATCTGCCCGGCGACGCTGCTGGCCCCGTGCGCGAGCCTTGCGCGACGAGGCCGCTCGGTCCTAAGAACGCAGATTGCAAAGTGGTCACGGCAGTCTGCACGCATGGGCTGACGAATGCACTTCCCGACAAAATCGACAAAATGCAGCGTGGATTCATTCCAACTCGAAACCTCGGCGCGAACGTTTTCGAGCTCGACGCGTACGCGCGCATGACTGGACTTGAGCCTTCTGCCTCTGAGCGCCTCCCCCTCCTCCTTGCCTTTGACTATAGCCACGCCTTCCCCTCTGCTTCCCGCGAATGGATTTTCCATGTCCTCTCTGCGTGCTCCCTCCCTCCGCCCTTACTGATCTTCTACCAGCTTATTTATTTCTTTGTTTGTTGCTTTGGTCAGGCAGGATCCCCCCTCCTTCCCTTCTTTTTCCTGGGGTCTGGCATCGTTCAGGGCTGCCCTGCCTCGGTGACTTTGCATGCCCTTGCATCCGAGCCTTTCAACGCCCACCTCAGAATGTCAATTTTGCAGAAATGTCGTGCATCCGATGCTGCGCCGACGATGTCGGAGGCGTCATCCATCGCATCGAGTGGCCGAGTGGCTCAAAAAACTGTTCACTGTCTTTGCTTCCGCCGAACGGGTCGCAGGATTGCGACTGGAGATCGTGAAATGCTTCGCGGTCCCTCTCTGTGCTGTGTTCTCGCCTGAACTGAAAGCTCGGGTAGTGAGATGGCTGGAGGCCGAGTTGCCCGCTTGGGCGAAAGTTTCGATTGCGTCGCATCTTGCCTACCTTGGAATGAAGCTCGGTCCTGATGTTGTGCACCAGATTTGGACTGAGCCGCTGGAAAAAAATACTTCAATCGTTCTGCCGGCATTACTCGCGCCAGGCCCCCGCCAGTTGTCACAGCGAAGCTCTACAATCAAAGATCTGTCTCGACCTTCGGTTACGTCTCGCAGTTTGCTCTCCTCCCCCAGCGCATTCCTCAGAAAGAGCACGCCGTCCTGGCTAGTCAGTTTGCGATTGCGCATTGCGATCTTTCCCGTGCCGGCTTCTTTAACCTCCCCGACTGGGGGCGCCCGAGATTCCAGAGTCTCGTCGCGGTGAATCTAGCCACTTTGATTCGCAGCGCTGTGCACACATTCGATGGTTGGCCTAGGCTGCACGCCAAAATGAGAGAGTGTGCTGATCGGAACCTCCCTGTCGTGCGTCTTGTGGCTGGTGACCTCTCTCCCTCGTTCCGGAGCCCCCCCCCCTGGTCCAGGTCCTGGCCGACGCCGACGGCGGATTTCAGAACCATCCGAGACGGAGCGCCGCTGCCTCTGCCGCCGCGCAGATTGCACGCAATGCTCGAGCTGACCCAGAGCTGCAATACAAGATCCAGCGCCTAGTCTCTGCTAGCCTCCTCTCGTCGCTTTTCCCCTCTGCCTTGCATCTGACTTTCACTCGTCGCCTCCTTTCTTATTTTCCCGCCTCCTTCCCCGCGATAGCCAGAATCGCATGGGAATCTGCGAGGCTTGTGGTCCACGCCCTCCCGCCATCTTGGGCGATAGCGGTGGTCAAGACACTGTGTGGAGGCTGGCCCACCCGCACTAGATTTCACGACTCTGGAGGCGAGTTACTCTGTTGTCTAGGCTGCCCGAAGCCCGATGCCATCTCTCACTATCTTATTTGCCCCAAGTTTTTGTCTCTCGTGAGTAAAGTCTCAAAGCGAAACTTGCCCGAATGCCCGATCGCGCGCCTTGGTCTGCTCGCCCCTTCTTCTGCCTCGTTCGCCGTTACTGTCGTGTCGTACTCCCTCTACCGTCACCTCTCCAACCTCCCCCGGGCGAGGTCGGTGCTAGGCACTTCGCCGCAGGATGCCGAACCCGTCCTGCCCATCGCGCGCGATGCCGTGCACAGGCAGGAGCAGAGCTAGCTGAGGATGAACCGGCGCGCCCCCAGCGACGAGCCAGGAGTAGGAGGAGGATGAGGAGGAGGAGGAAGAGGAGGAAGAGGATGAGGATGATGAGGATGAGGATGAGTATGATGATAATGATGATGACGACGATGATGATGATGATGATGATGATGATGATGATGATGACGATGACGATGACGATGACGATGACGATGATGATGACGATGATGCTGATGATGCTGATGCTGATGCTGATGTTGATGGTGATGCTGATGCTGATGATCATGATGATGATGAGGAGGAGGAGGAGGAGGAGGAGGAGGATGGTGAGGAGGGAGGGGAGGAGGAGGAGGAGGAGGAGGAGGAGGAGGAGGAGGAGGAGGATTCTGGTCCTCCCGGAAGCGCGCCAGCGGTGCTTTCTCGCCCCTCTCGGGGCCTCCCGGAGGCCTCTCTCAGGATCGATCGAGGGTCGAGGATCGATCGGGGAACGAGGGTCGGAGGATCGGGGGTCGAGGATCGATCGGGGATGGAGGATCGAGGGCTTCGAGGGTCGGAGGATCGAGGGTCGGGGATCGAGGGTCGGGGATCGAGGGCCTCGAGGATCGAGGGCAGAGGATCGAGGGCCGCGGGCCGAGGATCGCGGGCCGGACACCGATCATCGGAGGAGCGGTCGCGGACCCGGGAGGGGTCTCCGGCGGGCGCCGGTGCGCGTGCGTCGGGGCCTCAGGCGGGCGCCGCCTCGGCGGGCGGGCTCCGGCGCGGCGGCCGGCGGGGCGGCGGCGGCGCACGGGTGCCCCCCGGCGGGGACTGGTACACGGCCGCCGCCTCCTCCTCCTCCTCCTGCTCTCCTCCTCCTCCTCCCCTCCTCCTCCTCCTCCTCTCCTTCTCCTGCTCTCCTCCTCCTCCTCCTCCTCCTCCTCCTCCTCCTCCTCCTCCTCCTCTCCCCTTCCTCCTCCTCCCCTCCTCCTCCTCCTCCTCCTCCTCCTCCTCCTCCTCCCCTCCTCCTCCTCCTTCCTCCTCCTCCTCCTCCTCCGCTCCTCCTCCTCCTCCTCCTCCTCCTCCTCCTCCTCCTTCTCTGCTCTCCTCCTCCCCTCCTCCTCCTCCTTCTCCTGCTCTCCTCCTCCTCCTCCTCCTCCTCCTCCTCCTCCTCCTCCTCGTCCTCTCCTCCTCCTCCTCCTACTCCTCCTCCTCCTCCTCCTCCTCCTCCTCCTCCTCCTCCTCCTCCTCGTCTCCTCCTCCTCTCCTCCTCCTCCTCCTCCTCCTCCTCCTCCTCTCCACCCACATCCTCCTCCTCCTCCTCCTCCTCTCCTCCTCCTCCTCCTCCTCCTCCTCCTCCTCCTCCTCCTCCTCCTCCTCCTCCTCCTCCTCGGGTCGCCTGCGGCCCCGGGTGGCTTCCGTCCAGGGCAGCCATCCCCAGAGTTCCGACGTGTCAAGAACATGCGAGCGATGGGTCTGGTGCCGGTTTCGGCCTCTGGGGGCCCTCGCCGGGCCTCAGGGCCGTCGAAAAATGATTCAGGACGAAGACGGGCCCTGGGGAAGTAGTCCAGACCTCTGGGGCCCAAACATCGAACAAAATTGGGCCCGCCAGATGTCTGGGGCGACAGTTGAGCGACGCAAAAGAACGGTGTCGTCTACGCTGACATTTGCGCGTAAGTTGCTTGCGTAAGGTCGCGCGTAAGCGCCCTCGTCTCCAATGTAGCGTTCCGTGCTGGCGGCCCGCGTAAGCCACCGCGTAAGGTCGCTGTGCCATCTCGCGTAAGACCCGTTTCTTTTCGTCGCTCAGGTGGTGGATGTGGATGCACTCAGGCCCACTGGGGCCCAACCATATCCATATCCACCGCCCCCTGGGGTCCTGGAACGTCGGTTCAAGAGGCGGTGGATATTGATAGATCCCCGCCTCGCAGGTACGGGCAGATCCGGCGGCAGCGCGGGCCGGTGGAGGAGCTGTACGGCCTCTGGCGGGTCTTCCGCCATGGGGGGAACTCAGAGAATGAAAGGGTACACGTACTGCTATCCTTCACTCGTGTTCCCCTTTTCGGGCCTCCTCGGGAGCCCTCGTCGCCACCGCTGGATTCGCTCCGACATGGTCATAACGCACCCGGGAAAAAGGTCTGGGGAGCAGCGGTATCGGTACCTTTTGGCTTCCCTAGAAACAGGTCCTGAGGGAAACGGGACCTAAGGTGTTTCGCCGTCTTCGGGCCCTCGGGGCCCCCACGGGCCCCACGACTTGTGAGAACACTGCTCAGGATGAAGAGCTCGTCCAGGGGGAAGGCACAGGGTCCAGGACCCGTTTTCCTCGGGACCCGTGTTTATCACATGCTAGAAGGTGTTTTGGTTTGGCCTCCTGCTGTTCAGCTCCGCCTTCGTGCTGGTTGCCGTGTGCCTCCCCAGCTCGGCGGCTCGAAGGCGGGGCCTTGGGAGGTTGTCGACCATGGCTGTTCAGGGTTTAGGGCCCCCTCCTCCTCCTCCTCCTCCTCCTCCTCGTCCTCCTCCTCCTCCTCCTCCTGCTCCTCTTCCTCGTCCTCCTCCCCCTCCATCTCCTCCTCTCTCTCCTCCTCCTCCTCCTGCTCGTCCTCCTCGTCCTCCTCCCCCTCCGCCTCCTCCCTCCTCCTCCTCCTCCTTCTCCTCCTCCTCCTCCTCCTTCTCGTCCTCCTCTTCCTCCTCCTCCTCCTCCTCCTCCTCCTCCTCCTCCTCCTCCTCCTCCTCCTCCCGTAGCCATTTTGGCTCAAATAAATGGGGCCCAAGTTTTTCTGGGCCTGCCTCTGTGCCATCCCGAGGCGCTTGAGGTTTCGTCTCCCCACGGGAGACGACTGAATCAGAAGCAATCGCTCTCAGCCCTCGGCGCCCGCCATGGCGCCTCTCGTTCGTCGTGCTGGCTGGCTTGCTGGCACTCCGCCATGGCGCGACGGGGGCTCGGATGGCTACTGGCAGTGCGGGCATTGCGGCTGCGGCAAGAACCTCGGGCACTACTGGTTTTGCAAGCAGTGCCGCGGCACGCGGAGGGAGGTCGAAGCTGCCAGCCCGCCTCAACCCCGTGGAGCCTGGGCGGGAGACTGGCAGCGCACGCCCTGGCAGGAGAAGCCGGCCATGGAAGGCCTCCCTGTCGGCCTCCAGGGCGGCGGGGCCCCTCCGCCTGTCTCAGGGGACCAGGACAATCTCTCCGACGACGAGGACGGGCAGCTCATCAACCTCCATCGGAAGATGGGTAACGAGGCATCGGCAGCGGCCCTGCAGCTCAGGCTGGAGAAGCGACGTGCTGGTGACCCCCTGTTCCCCTGCAGGCCCAGGCCAACCAGGTGGACCGTCATATCAAGAAGCAGGAGAAGACGCTTCAACATGATGTGAAACTGTATACGAAGTGGTCTAATTGGCTTGCCGACCAGAAGGAACCCATCGGTGCGGTGCGTCGTGAGCTGGCGGGCGAGATGCAGAATTACCAGGTGCTGGTGGATCAACTTCGAGCGCAAGCTCGTCCAGCTCCCGCCACGCCGCAAAAGCTTCGTATTGCCCTCCAGGACCTTCTGGGCGAGTCCAGCGACTTCCTGGATATGGGCCGTGCGGAGGAGGTCTTGGACGGCTCGGTCTACGAAGTGCAGGAGTCGGACACTCAGGAGCTCGATAAGAGGACCACGCAACTCAAGGAGTCTATTCAGAAGGCCGCTCGCCAGCTCTCCGGCGAGGCCCAGCGGCGCGCCAGGAAGCTCAAGGAGGACTACGCCAAGCACATCCAGAGGACGGGGGAGAAGTGCAAGGTTGGCGCTTCAGGTGAAGCTGCCGCGGCGTCACCTGAAGGCGCTGGGGAGCCCAAGGGCGAGGCCCAAGATCCTGCTGGAGACGGAGGCGTAGATTCTTCGACTGGAGCGTCGACGCCATCGTCGGGGGCTGCGGCTGGGACGTCGTCGGCGGCGCAGTTGCTCGCCAGCGTGGACACGCTCATCGGGCCCCTGTCGGATCCACCCCCCCTGCCAGCGCGTAGCCGGCAGGGGGGGGGCATCATGGACGCGTTCACGCGCGCGGCAGCATGGCCGCTACTCCACCATCTGGGTCGACTGAGTCCACCTGGTCATCGGCGGCGGCTTCAGGTTCATTCTGCGAGGGCCAGCGCGAAGCGTGCTCGCCCAGCCATGAGTCCCCTGTCATGTCTGTTCGTTCGGCTCTCGGGAGAGCCAACAAGTTTTCTGGGCTGCCAACTGAGGGCGGCATGCCTTCGGGCCCTTCCAAGTTTTTGTCAGCGCCCCCCTGCCCTGGTTGCACGTTCCAGCTGTCGGTCGAAACGGTGAATTGCACGAGTTGGTCTTCCATCGGGTCTTGGCTTGCAACCACGACTTCCCACATCTCTCTCGTGCGAGAACACCACCTCGCATCGAATGGCGACGTCGCCAAGGCAGGACCATGGGCGCCAGATAGGGGACGGAAGGCTCGGCTCAATCCTGCGGCCCGCACTTCGGCGGGAGGCGCTTCTGGAGGTGTCGCGATGTTGGTTCGCTCTTCCTGGGGTTCCACGATCCCGAGGTCGGTCAGATCGTCGTCCCGTCCAGGGCCATGAGTGGACCTGTTCAGGTTCCAGGGGCTCCGTCGATCCTGGTCTCGTCGGTCTACCTCTTCGATAGCGAGGACCTCGCTGACAGGAATCTTGATTTGTTGGCGGCCGTGTCGGCCAGGCATTGTTCGTTTGAAGGTCCGAACCTGATCGGGGGCGACTTTGACATGGCGCCTGATGTGTCGGTTGCTTCTGGGGTTCCTGGATATCTTGAGGCTAACGCTATCTGCCCTGATATCGGCACGTGCACCAGTGCTGGGGGCTTACGGGCCCCCGACTATCAGCAGGCTTCAGTCGCTGCATCCAGGTGGTTTCAGCAGTCTTAGGCAGCGACATCAAGACGCTCGCGCCCGTGCGCATCCTCTTCTACCCGCAGCCGGCTGTGCTCAAGGCCCTCATGTTCCTCCGCCCGCCTAAGCTGCCGCCCGAGCGCCCCGCCCCGCCAGCGCCGTGCTCGGAGGACCGCGCCGCTGCCCTGGATTGCGCCCGAGTGGGGCGTGAGTCGATTGAGCACCAAGCGTCTAGGTCCCAGATCCAGAGGCATCTTGACGTGTTATATCGATTTTGGGCCGACGCGGCCGAGTGGGAGCTTCCCATAATTCTGCAGACCGATCTGGCGATGCGGGGGTTCCGCGGCCGGAGGCCTCGATTGGCTTGGGGTTCTGCCCTGGGCAAAGACTCTCGCTCCCCTGCTCAGGATCTTGGACTGGTATCTGGTCGTTGGTTGTCAAGGACTTCGAGGCTTATCTTGGGGGCGGTCGATTCAGGAGACGCCGTGGCCTTCGCGCGATGTCGGATTCATTTCCTGCGCCCCCCCGCGCGTGTTCGTCGGTCATGGGGTGTATTTCATTTTTTTCCCACATGCATAGTGGGGTTCTGGTTTTCTCTCCCTGCCGCGTCGCACCCGCGTTTCTCCTCTACCTCCTCGCCCCTCCTTCCCTCTTCCCTCCACGCATCCAGGGGCTGGTGTGATGATTCCCTTTCTCTTTCTCTGGTTCCCCACATCAGCACAAGCAGACGCATGAGCACACAGCAGACACACATCCACAGTCGACATCAGTCATCACATACATCCACCATACACGCAGCACACAGACAAACAGCACACAAACAGCACCCGTACACAATACCAGCACAAACAGACACAGCACGCACACGCAGCAAACAGGCAAACAGCACACAGACGTGCAGGGGGTGGTCTCTCACCGCGGTTCTCTATCCGTCTCAGGGTCGCGGGGCGTGGCAGGCGTGGCACTTTCTCGGCGCCAGAGAGGGTGCGCAGGGGGTGGTCTCTCACTGGTCTCTCTATCCGTCTCAGGGTCGCGGGGCGCGGCAGGCGTGGCACTTTCTCGACGCCAGAGAGTGTGCGCAGGGGGTGGTCTCTCACTGGTCTCTCTATCCGTCTCAGGGTCGCGGGGCGTGGCAGGCGTGGCACTTTCTCGACGCCAGAGAGGGCGCGCCGGGGGCGGTCTCTCATTGGTCTCTCTATCCGTCTCAGGGTCGCGGGGCGCGGCAGGCATGGCACTTTCTCGAAGCCAGAGAGGGTGCGCAGGGGGTGGTCTCTCACTGGTCTCTCTATCCGTCTCAGGGTCGCGGGGCGCGGCAGGCGTGGCACTTTCTCGACGCCAGAGAGGGTGCGCAGGGGGTGGTCTCTCACTGGTCTCTCTATCCGTCTCAGGGTCGCGGGGCGTGGCAGGCGTGGCACTTTCTCGACACCAGAGAGGGTGCGCAGGGGGTGGTCTCTCACTGGTCTCTCTATCCGTCTCAGGGTCGCGGGGCGTGGCAGGCGTGGCACTTTCTCGACACCAGAGAGGGTGCGCAGGGGTGGTCTCTCACTGGTCTCTCTATCCGTCTCAGGGTCGCGGGGCGTGGCAGGCGTTCGACACCAGCACTTTCTCGACACCAGAGAGGGTGCGCAGGGGGTGTCTCTCACTGGTCTCTCTATCTGTCTCAGGGTCGCGGGGCGTGGCAGGCGTGGCACTTTCTCGACACCAGAGAGGGTGCGCAGAGGGTCGTTTCTCATTGGTCTCTCTATCCGTCTCAGGGTCGCGGGGCGTGGCAGGCGTGGCACTTTCTCGACACCAGAGGGGGTGCGCAGGGGGTGGTCTCTCACTGGTCTCTCTATCTGTCCCAGGGTCGCGGGGCGTGGCAGGCGTGGCATGTTCTCCACTCCACAGGGGGTGCGCAGGGGGTGGTCCGTCACCGCGGATTCTATCCGTCCCAGGGTCGCGGGGCGTGGCAGGCGTGGCATTTTCTCCGCGCCACGGGGGGTGCGTGGGGGGCAGGTATCGCGGGTGCATTCCATTTGTTGCACTTGCATGGGTTTGCGCAGTATCCAGATATGTAAGCACTCTGGCTCAAGCCAGCTCGGAGCGCCAGGGTGCCTAATCGAAGGCCGCAGTTGGTTGTTGCGCAGGCGCGCTAGCCATGCCGCCTAAAATTGCCATGGGCGAGCTGCCGCCTCCGTGCTCGTCGCTGAAGAAAGAAATGATTCAGAATGGCGGCGAGGTAAGCTTGGCATGATTACGCTGCTGCCCTGAAGCGACGGTGGTCCCCGCATTTCACGCGCACCGCCGCCAGCTGAAAAAAATGGTGGCCCAATACCTTGCGCGTCCATGGCACAGCGGTATCGGCGGGGCAACGGCCACCAACATCATTCTCACATGCTTCACTTCAGCTCTCATCACTCCAGCCATGCTATAAGTTGGTGGGGTTCCTCGGTAGCGTAATTTGTTGCAGGGATGTGGTCTCCTTGAGGGTGTTCAAGATTGTTTCCCGAGATGCGTTAGGTTCCCGGGAGTTTCAAGCTCCTTTAGAGACCCGGGTAGCAGAGTATGCAAA